GGGTTTAAGTTTTAGGGTTTAAGGTCCAAAGTAATTAGCTAGTAGAATGTCGCATTAAGGCCAGTAACTCACTAACATCGCAACGCAGTGGTACCAGCGCGAGTACTGCTACAAACTCTACAGCACAAAAAGAGCAAGACAGAAAGCTGCAAGTTCGTGACAACTCAAGCACGTGCCAGTTTTTGAGCATTGCACCTGCTGTGTCTGGAAGGGTCCACTAGACACTAAAGCTGCAGCGGGACCAGCAAAAGAATCGTGCCTTCGAGGATGATGTGTAGGCTCTGGTGAGATTCCCACTTTACGGGGCCTTAAAATTTAGACCCCTGTACTTATGCCTTAAACTGCATCGACAGGAGCCGCAATGGGCACATGTTTGCTTGAGCCACTGCAACAAACGCGCTATGAGGTGACCTTCCCGCCATAGTGCGCACGGAAGTATCGACAAGTCATATTAAAGTTTGGCCAAGGAGGTCGAGCAACTCGTCCCGAGTACAACGATGACTGTGGGCACATTCAGTAGGCTTCAATGTAGCAGTGCTTGAGGTTGGTTTGGTAACCATAAACCCTAAACCCTAAACCAGTCCGTCAGAGGTTGGCAGGCTGGTCAGAGTGTCTTTCAGCACGACATGAGTGACGGAGCACCAGTCAAAGACGTCTCTAACTAGCTGCCAATGACCAGTGACTGCTCACTGTGTCCGTTCGGGATTGTCGAGGTCCACACTGTACATGTCATCCCCCAAATGGCTGAACAAGCATGTTTTGTTAGTGGCACGTCAGTGCCAGCACGCCACGGGAAGATGGCATCAAAACTCAAAACTCATTCTTCAACGCTGCCCGCCTTGGCCTACTAATACGATAACCCTGAATGGCCCTGAACCTTGCATGTGGAACCCAAAAACCTATGCCATCTACTCTAACTGTGCTGACCTGGGACCCTTGTACAAATTGTAGTTTTAGCTGTTTCCTGGGATCATAGCAACCAAAAATTAAGAAGTATTTCTAGCTGCCCCTAAGCTAAGCCCACAAGCGAGAGAGAAGGCTGTGCAGCATAGTCTGCGCCTGGCTGTAATCAACAGCGGAGGCACAGGCTATGGCAAGTGACTGTACAAGCTTCACTACATCCCTAAGCAGTAAGAAACATTCCTGCCGATTCACAACAACTCCGAGTTTGAAATACGGAAATCTCTCTATATATATATATATATA